CTCTCTCTCTCTCTCTCTCTCTCTCTCCTTCTCTCTCCCTCTCTCTCCCTCTCTTTCTTCCTTAACTGTGCTTTATTAAGGGCTAAGCTGGAGAAAGCGTCATCCAATAGTTACAGAAGGTTACAAGGAGTTTTAGGGAGTCAGTGTGAAAAGAGCAGTTGTATTGAACTGCAGATGCTTTTTTTTTCCCCTACAACATCTGGACATCCTAAAAGGAGGAGTCAAGAGAAAGAAAAAAACTAAATGAAGTAAAACAACAAAATAGACCAAAAGAAAAGATAGGAGTCCTGAGAGCAACCAGAATTTTGCTGTTCTAAAGGAAAAAAAAAAGGTAGTTCCAAGACCGCCCCGGCCTCCAGACGGACATCAGTGAGAAGCTCTTGAGGCAGAATGCAAAATAAGCCTTCCCAAGGGTGCAAATCAATTATAATAAATACGTTATACTTTAAAATATATGTGTTCTTAAATAATTCAGTGTTTTACTGATTCTGAGTTTTTTTAAGCACTGTAACTCCTCTAAAGTCATTTACCAAAGATAAATATCGTGCTTTCATTAAATAATTTTCCTTGTTTTTTCTCTACCATTACAACTAAAAGTCCTACAAAATATGCAAATTTATTTTCAGAAAAATGAGAGCTGGCATCATTTAAACATCCCTGTTTTTAAAAATGTCTTGTAAACAGTTTCAGAAATTCTTCAAAGATTGTTTTCTCTCTCTTGTTTAAGGTTTTGTGGTGTCTGTGTTTAGTTGTTTGAAGATGAAAAGTTCCCAGTTCTCCCTGGCCTGGAAAGTCTCCAGAACAAGCACAGAAGGCAGAGCGAAGAAGCACAGAATGAAGCAGAGGTGAGGTGGGCAGAGCGCGCGCGCATGCGCTCAGCTCCCTGGGAAGCGAGAGGTGGCAGGACTCTTTCAAACAGCGCTGGCTGGAGCCTGCAGGTCTGGACAGTCTGGCCTGGCCCTTGGGGACCAAGTCCAAGAGCACTCGCGGGGAGACGGGATCGATGCTCAGTCTAAACTCTACAGAAGTCCAGTCCTACAAAAATCTGGGATTTTTAGCATAACGCTAATTTCTATAAGGTTTTTAGTTTTTCTCCTTTTTTCTCTTTTTAAATTTTTTGGTTTTTTTGCTTTCCTTTAATTTTTCTTCTTCTATAATATAGGTATTTTAAAATTTTCCTTTTAAAATTCTGTACAACTATTATGATTTTAAGAGGGGGAAGGATTAGAAGTATTTACAGACTTTCGCACTAATCACCTTGCCTTCGAAGTCCCCTTGGTCCCCTCGTGTTCTCTTCATGCTTAATGACTTAATATTTTTGTTGCTTTCCCCAAATATCCACCAATTAATTTATCTAAACAGCTCCATCCAGACATATAATACAGAAAACCATAGGAAAGTTTCAGAGACTTCAATCGGGGTAACCAAAGCGCCTCTCAAAGTATCAAAGAACTAGTATCTTGCTGTTTTAAAAGCGTTGAAGCATTATTTTTTCCTGCTTTCCTTTTCTTTTTTATTTATTTATTTATTTATGTATATTACATTTTCATAGAATCTCTCTAAGCTGTTTCAAGAACAGCCAGGAAGCAGGAAGGTGGTTGGTCTCCATCCCACCTCTAATTGACAGAGCTACACATCTGCAATAAAAAGCCTTTGGTCCCTAAATAGCTAAAGGAATGACAAATAGAGCCGCCCAGTGGCGGCCTCCCAGATGCCTGCTGGAGACTAAGCCCCATTGTACACTTGCCCCTGCCTGCCTCAGGCGCCTACTGGCAGGGAAAGACCCAAAAGGGCTTGGCAGTAGCATCTCCTCCTAGTGCCCAGCCCTTCAGCTTCCCCAGCTTGGCTCACGTTATTTCATTTTAAAGCGCGTGTTTTTTGTTTGTTTTATATCACTTTTCTTCTTTGTCGTCATCTTTAGGTCATGTATATTTTTCCCCAACACGAGCTCCTCCGCACTCCATAGACGCTATACTTTCCTTGAAGAAATGTTACAGTCACACAGAGTGTCTGGAGTCTTCAGCTTGATTGGTATTGGCTGATATGTCAAAGTTGTCGTCCAACAGTTCTCATTTATAAATAGAGAGAGAAAGAGGCTTGTTTTTAATGTAGCCCGTTCAGCATCCTGCCATGTGAGAGTCCTGGTCTCCTCCGGGGGACGCTCCCGGAGGAGCTCAGTATGGGGCGATTAACGTCTTTGGCTTCAGCGCACCTTAAACCTCTTCATGCCTATCTGGAAGCCGTTCATGGCCTGGATGGCGGTCTGCGCGCTGGCCGGGTTGTCGAAGCTCACGAAGCCTGGCGAGACGCGAGGGACCAGGGCTTGGGTTTCCATGGGGCCGCCCCGGGGCGCTACAAGTGGTCTTGTTTTTTTCAAATGAAAAATCGGAGTCTCAGAGCCACAAACAAAGATGTCCAAGGTGCTATGAGGTAGAAGGTAGAGTTCAGAGCTTTGGGTCTACATGCACACCCCTAAGGCTACCTCTACAACAGCATGATGTTTGGAGTTGCTCTCCTATCAGTCAGACTGTCTCTGCCAGCCACGACTGCCTTATTAGCGACCCATGCTCTCTGTGTGTAGCTAGAGCCATTGGCGGCTCTCACTACAGACCTGGAGCCCACTGTCAGCCCTTTCCAGACACCTGGAAACCACCAGTGAGTCTACAGTAAAAGCACTTAGTAGCGCTGATTTTCCTGTCAAGTGCTATGATATGTATTTGAGACATTTCCTGGTAAGATGGGACAGTGAACATTGATCAGTGCATTTGATGATCGTCCACTGGCCATCTGTTGCATGCAATGCACTGGAGAAAGGTGTTTGTCAATATCTGGATGAAGTTGAGCTGGGCAGTGGTGGCGCATGCCTTTAATCCCAGCACTTGGGAGGCAGAGGCAGGAGGATTTCTGAGTTTGAGGCCAGCCTGGTCTACAGAGTGAGTTCCAGGACAGCCAGGGCTACACAGAGAAACTCTGTCTCCCTTCTCTCAGGTCCCTTGCTTGTTCCCACTCCTCTCAACTTTGTGCCCTCCTTTTTTCTCTTGTAGCCCACTTGTTCTGTATATGTATGTGTATATGTTCATATCAATATATGTACTGCCCGTATATTCATGGGTGTGGCTCCATCTACTGGAACATGGTTTACAGACCAAGGGCCACGCAAGTAAAGAAAACTAATTCTCTCTGCCCAAGAAGCCATCGGCTGTCAGCAGCACCTCAGCTAACGAGGCCTCTGTTCCCATATGGAATGCTAACTGACTTGACCTGGGGCAGGTCTTGTATAGGCAACCATGACTACTGTGGAATTCATGAGCTTTGTGGTCCTGTCATGTCCAGAAGACATTGCTGAAACTGAATTCTTAGATGTATCACATAGAATGAAATTAAGAATCATATAAAAGTTCTTCATGAGGGCTGGAGAGATGGCTTGGCAGTTAAGAGCAATGACTGCTCTTCTAGAGTATGTGGGTCCAATTCCAGTACCCACATGGCAACTCAAAACTGTCGTAACTCTAGTTCCAGGGGAACTGACACCCTTATACCAATGCACACTTAATTTTATTTATAAAAATAAAATTAAGTTCATTATATATATTATATACTTATATAAATATTTTATATAAATTTATATAAACATGTGTATATAATATATTGCACACACATGTATACATATACAACTCTTCATGAATGACTACAGAAGCATCATTTATAACAGCTCAGCTGAAACTGCCCAGACACCTGTCCGTGAAGTTCAGCTGCCTCACAGAGGCCATGGGATGCCATCGAGTGACAAAAGGTGCCAATGGGACATGCAACAGCTAGGGTGGAAATGGAGGGAATTCTGTAAGTGGAGAAGAGAGTCTTCAAAGGAACCTCTGTGTGATGCTGCCTACAGCACTCTGAAATGACAAAGTGATACCTGTGACCAGCTCCATGGCTGCCCATGTTCCCCGCTCTGTCTTGGTTATACATTTTGGTCTGTAGCCTTAAGTGTACAGCCTTAGTCTGTAGGCTCTGTTGTAACAGAATTCCACAGATACGGCAACTTTTAATGGTCAGAAATGTATTGGGTCACAGTTCTGGAGAGGGTTTTAGGATCCATTGAAGGTCTTCTGCATTGTCCCATGGAAGAAGGTAGGGTGACTCTCCAGTCATCTCAAAATACAAGTCTTAATGTTTAGTAAGTAACGTGCACACAATGCCATGTAGAAATTACTAGACCAAGCTTCACAGGCAGTGGCAAGGACAGCTGCTGCTTAGGGGTGGCTGCCTAGGGGTGGTACAGTGGTACTTCTCAGAAATGTCTATGAGACCAGGAAGTAAAAAGAAAGTTCTAGAAACAAGGCACAGAGTATCCGGGTAATACACAGAGCTTCAAGTTGTATTTCTTCTCTGTCTGTCCCTCTCTCTGTCATTTCCTCTCTCCTTCTCACCCTCCCTCCTTTCTTCCCTCCCTCACTTCCTGCTTTCACACCCTCTTTTCATCTTATAAACATTTGTGGTTTCTGGTGTATGGAAGGTTCTTCTTCATATCAGATATAAACAAGATGGCTTCCGTTCCTTCCCAGCTCCTAAGCTATTGAGGGACAGTGGACTGAGTGAGTACATCCCAACATCTGTCATTTACCTGAACTGTCTTCAGGCAAAAAGACCTCACTTACCTAGTCAAGGTGGAGGGCAACATGACTCACTGTCACACCACTTATAAACCCTATGAGTCAGAAGCTGGGGGATAAGAAAGGTTTTGACAACCAAGTGCCAGTTAGTCCTGGGCATGGTTAACTATATGAGCAATCTGTAACACAGGAAGGATGCAATTCCATCTTTAGAGGGTGACCAGAGCCACCGTGGCACAGAGGATGAACTTAACAACTGTGAGCTTGGATTTTAAATCCCATGTAGATAGAGAGGTAGTGAGACCCACAGGAAAGATAGTTCAGTGTCAAGTCTCACAAAGATGAGGACCTGCAAGTTGGAAGAGGCCTGACAAGTAAGCTGCTGATAGTCAAGGGAAGGACGTCTGTGTCTGAGAGACGGAGTGAAGATCATGAGCACTCAGGAATGAGAGAAAGAGGCCACAGTAGAAATCTTTAGAAGAGGAAAAGGTGGGCATGCAACACACACACACACACACACACACACACTCACACACACATACACACACATACATACACACACATACATACACACACATACATATATACACACACATATACACACATATACACACATACACATACATACATACACATACATACACACACAAACACACACATACATACACACATACACACACATGCACACACACATACATACACACATACACACACATGCACACACACATACATATACAAATACACATACATACACACACAAACACACACATACATACACACATACACATGCACACACACATACATACACACATACACACACATGCACACACACATACATATACACATACACACACATATACACATACACATACATATACACACAAACACACACATACATACACACATACACATGCACACACACATACATATATACATACACACACATACAAACATACACACATATACACATACACACACATATACACATACACACACATACACACACATACATACACACACATACACACATACATATGTACACACATATACACACATACACACACATACATACACACACATACATACACACATACATATACACATACACACACATACAAACATACACACATATACACATACACACACACACATACACACACATACACACACAATTGGGATTGCTTTTACTTGCATTTTAATACGATATTTGAAGCATCACTAACAGAGGCTCTCAACAGCAAAGGTCAAACGCTGCCTGAAGCCAACAAGAGAATCTCAGTGAGAGAAGTCACATGTGCTGCAGGAGATAACACATGACTTGTCAGAAGCTGGGCACCTCATGGGGTAGATTTTCACCTTTCCCTATTTTCTCTCCACCTTGGGCCACTCTTTCTTTTTATCCCTTACAACACCAGGTATGTTATGGTATCAGGCAGTTATCCATTTTCTTCTCTCCTGGAGTGCTTTTCCTCCCATGTTTCTAGCTGAAAGAGTAATGCTCTGCCTGCTTAAGACTCCATGTTAAGACTGTGGTGAATCATTTTGCAACTATCAACCTATATGTGGTTCTAGGGAATAAACATTTGCCCTCACACATGCTAGACAAGTGGTCTACCATGGACATGCTCCTTGAACTTTTCTAATGCTCTAAAAAAGTGTGTGTGTGAGTGAGTGTGTGTGTATGTATGTATGAGAGAATGTGTGTGTGTGTATGTGTGTGTATGTGTGAGAGATTGTGTGCATGTGTGTATGTATGTATGTATGTATGTATGTATATGTGTATGTGTGTGTGTGTGTTTTGCATGGACACATTTGCGTGTGTGCATTCATGCACTGGTATGGAGTACAGCAGAGGATGCTGGGTATCCTGTCCTATTCCCTACCTTATTCTTTTGAAAAAGGGTCTTTCACTGAACCTGGAGCTAGGGTAGCAGCCTGGTCAGTCACAGCAGTCCTCCTGTCCTTGCACTGGGTTATAGGCATGCAGGCCACCTGACTCTCCACATGAGTTATGGGGATTTGAACTCAGGTTCTCATGCTTACCAAGCAAAGGCTCAGCTAGTGGGTATACACAAAACTTCAGAGCAATTGTGACAGCACAAGACCTCCACAAGCAGCAGTCTGACAGAGTCCTGGCATAGAGTGGGGAGGTGAGCATGAAGCCCCATCACTGAGTTTTCAAGTTTGTTTTGTTATGTGTGGACATATTGTTTGGTTTCTTGAGAATATTTTGGAGGAGATGAAGATTCTTCCTTTACCAGGCCATCTTCCAAGATGTATATTTATCAATTAGTTTTATTATTTTTTCATAAGCTTTTCTCTGAGAGTGGCTTTCTGTGAGATTTCCTGCTTGGGTAGCTCAGTGAAGGGAATTGCTTATGACCCTGCTAGTGCCATGGGGCCAGCTTTTATGGACCAGGGGACATTTATGTCACCTGGATATTCCCACCTAGAATCTTTATCTGACAAAAGTGTTATAGTGGTTTTAGAAAGCGATTTATTACTTTCTGCAATTAAATCACAGTGTTTAAGACCCTACATATTTAATACAGTGTGTTAACCTTGTACAAATGATAAAAAAAATAAATTCAATGTTTCTGGACCTATATGGGTATTAATTTCTGCAAATGATAAACCAGGATGCTTTTCTACAAAGCTGACAACACAGTTGTATTTTCAAAATGTATACATATGGGATCAGCAATGCAGGCTGCGTTCACTAACGGCAGCAACAGCCTTCTGAGGTTCTACAGTTGTATGTCAAGGATAATTAATTCATGTATGGTCACGGACTTCCTTGAGGACACGCCCACTGAATAAATATACACAGCAAATCTGTCTTAAAAGCCCATGAAGCCTAACATGTGGTAGACTGCCGATGCCAGACTAAAGAAGGAGTGTGTCATTCAAGCACTGAGGTGTCACCTATGGCTGGCTAGTAGAGCATCAGGCCTGAATATGAGACTTTGTTCAGTGTCATCAAAGAACAATATAGGTACATAACTCTCCATGGCTCTAGGGACTGAAACCTGGGTCTCCTAACTCCACATGGCTCTAGGGACTGAAACCTTGGGTCTCCTAATAAAGGTGTTTTCTTTGAATAGTGAGAACAGGAATCAGAATTTGTTTAGATTTACCACAGCTGCTAAAAGTAGAGAGAATTACAGTACAGTGTTCATACAAATAAGATGACTTGGTGTCCATAAATCATAGGGAAAATACTAAAGTGCTAAAAGCAATCAGAAGAAAGAAGGTTTTCTGCTGAAGGACAAGTTATAGCCTGTGGCAACAGGAGAGAATGGTTTGTCTTCTTCAGAATGCAAGAAAGCGTCGATCTAAAAATTTGCTCCAACTTTCATTTGCATGAGGATGAAAGAGCTAAAATTGTTCATCAGCTGCAGACGCCCATGCGGTGGCTATTAAAGGAGGCCAGGAAAGCATCGGAGGTGGCTGTCAGCGATGGGCCAAGAAAGGAATGGATGTGTAGGTCAAACAAAAAATGGTGTGGAAACCGATGGCAGCTATGACCACAGGGAGGATCACAACATTGACTAAGATGTACATGCTGGAAGTGCAGAGGTAACTGGAGAGGAAGACAGTAGCAAAGAGCATTCTGGAAATCCTGAAATCCCCAGTGAAGGCACAAAGGGAGCCATGTCAGAGTTTATCTGTAACTATAAAAATGAGAGATCGGTGAAACTTTCAGCTGAACACTTAGAATATATGTAATGTAGGGAAAACACAGTTAAACGACAACAGCTAAGAAAGGTGTAAGGTAAAGGTTACGGTTGTTCAGCACAATGACCAAATGAACTTTAGAGAAATATATGAATTAGACAACAGAGAGAAGAAAGATAACACTATCCTAGGGATAAGAAGATAATTAATGAACGATGAAGCAATTATCAGAAAAGTATGATAGCCCTGAACTACAGACACACAATGACACAGCCAACAACAATACATAAATCGAAAGCTCACAGAATTACAAGACTTTTAAAATGCTATTCTCCAAAGCAGATGGGACAAGCACACTAAAATGTAGTATTTCAGGGCCAATGAGATGGCTCAGCAGTATCTACTGCCAAGCCTGAGGACTCACACTCAATCTATGGGACCCATGTGCTAGGAGGAGAGAACTGACTTTTGAAAATTGTGCTTTGACCTTCACAGGTGCACCATGGCGTGCAGATGCCACCCCTCAAAAAGTAAGTAAGTAAGTAAGTAAGTAAGTAAGTAAGTAAAGCAATAAGCATTTTGTAACTTGTATTTCAATGCTGCAGCTAAAAACTGGGGCACAATTTTAGAATACCACTCAATGATTCTGAATTCATCTCTACATTGGGAATTTATCAAGTAGTAGTATCCAGAAAGTCTCAAATATATAGCTAAAGTCTACTCCAGTAAATGCTTTGGTTGCTAGCATCTAATTACTATAAATTTATAACTTGTAATTAATCCACAAATTAAGTACTTTATTAATTTACTATAAGTAATTTTAACCTACAAATTATATTGTTTTTAAAAAAATCAATGTAACTTTTTGGTAAAGGGGTCCCCAAAGCATATACATACATATTGAAAATAAGGTCTTAGTAATCACCATAATGTAAAAGCAAACTCTTAGGCACTCACTGTAAGAAGACACTCCATATCCAGACAGAATGCAGCTAAAGCAACAGAAGGACAGGGATAGCTATGGTTGTAGTCACAAGAAAAGATTAAAGTCCAGGCAATGTCACTTGTGACAAAAGTCAGAAAAGAAACTGAGTGTAGAGATGGTACAGACTTCTAGAACCATCTGGAGGACTCGGGGGACATTGTAACAGGGAGATGAAAAAAGAACATAAGAGTCAGAAGACAGAGGAGGAGACAGGAGATGCTGACTGCAGGGCATTGCTATGGTTACCTACCCTGGGTCTGCCCAGGGCTAATCATGGATGGAGGAAGGGGCTCATGCCCTCCACTGTCACTGCATCACTTGTAACTGATACATTTGGGTTGGACAACAGTCATCATCTTTAGTTGAAATGCATAGCTCCCAGTCCATGGCCAACAGACAATTCTGGTTAAAATCAAAGGTCTCATAACACAGGAAGACGCAAGTGTGGGAAAGGAAACCTCAGGAAGGAGAGTATGCATGGTAGGGGTGATGGAGACTTAAGGGGGGTAGGGGTGAGGTTAAACAATGCAAAAGAAATATAATCATTAAAATGTTTTCTAAAAGACAAGGAGAGTAGAAACTTAGAGAGAGAGAGAGAGAGAGAGAGAGAGAGAGAGAGAGAGAGAGAGAGAGAGGCAAAGATGCAGTGCCAGGGTGTTTGAGAACAATACATATGCAAATTTATCTAAAATTGGTAAGGATAAAACCAGAAAAGTGACAAACAGCATTTAGTAACAAAACATAAAGTGTCACTCTGTTAAAGTGCCATATATGAGAAGATGTGAAAATCCATTATGACGAAAACTTAAATATATCATCAGTGATGATAGTTGGCCTTGGAAGACTATGTCCAAAGTGCAAGCACAGCTGAGGAAGGACCTGAAGTAGTAGTTTAAAGGAAACCGATGACCCACCCATACATACTCCCTTGATCTGAACTAGTTAAAAAAAAAAAAGAGACAAAGACCTTCAAACCCACTCAGCAAATTGTATTTTAAAATTACTTCATATTAAATTATAGTATATTACAGGAAGGCAACACTGGGCATTTTATTTAAGTAAGTCACTATGGCATTATAGTAAGCAAAACAAGAATGCCTATGTGTGTGTTGACAAGTGAACCATCTGAAGAAGCAACACACATTGATGACTTAAAGGCAGAAATAAAAGCTGAGATAGAGATGTTTAGGGATTGTGGTGGTCTGAATAAGAGTGGCTCCCTTAGGCTCATATATTTGAATGCTTAGTTACCAGGGAGTGGTGCTATTTGAAAGGATTAGAAGGATTCTGGTGTATGGACTTGTTAAAGGAAGTGTGTCACTGTGGGTGGGTTTTGACGTTTCAAAAACCCATGCCAAGCCCAGAGTTTCTGCCTTCAGAGCAGGATGTAGAACTCTCAGCTATCTCTCTAGCACTGTGTCTGCCTCCATGTCACCATGTTCCCTGCTGTAATGATAATGGACTTACTTCTGAAACTGTTAGCCAATCTACAGTTAAATGCTTTCGTTTACAAGAATTGCCTTGGTCATGGCGTCTAGATTTTCAGGCCAAGGTCACTCAAAATGGCTCCAGAATAAACTCCACTGTGCCCCTTAAGATGAGAGCTGTATTTTTTTGCATGGATAGATGTGATTTGTCTGTTCAACAGAATTTAGATATGAACACCAACGGGTACTGGATGAAGCTGGAAAACTGTGTTCTGACTCACATGAAGGCAGATTAGTCTTGCTATGGGAGGGGCTGTCTCCATAGTCCTGCCATAAAGGCACATGTCAGTTGTTCTAGCATTCAGGAGGCTGTGACAGGTGATCATCTCGCCTGTGAGTTTGAGACCAACCTGGGAAACTTATCAAGACAGCATCTTTAAATAGATAAGTAATGAATGAATGACTGAATAAACAAATGAATAAGAAATTAAAAAAGAGATACTCCAGGCAGAAAGAAAAAAAATATAACGGAAAATTTCTTTCCATAATGAAGATCAGGAATTAGGGGACGGGGGCTGGGCAAGCATGATGGCCTGAGTTCAAATTCTCAGCACCAGTGTCAAAAGCCAGGTGTGCTCTAAAAGCCTAGGGAGGCAGAGACACAGGTCCTGGGATTGATGCTCAGGTAGTCAGCTAAATCAGTGAGCTCCAAGTTCAATGAGAGACCCTGTCTAAAAAACGCAAAGTGGGGTGTGATCAGAGACATCAGACATCACTCTCTGGGATCCACAAGCACATGCAGTCTCTCTCTCTCTCTCTCTCTCTCTCTCTCTCTCTCTCTCTCTCTCTCTCTCTCTCTCTCT